TGGGGGCTTTCAGGGGGTCTAGGGGTACTGTGGGAGATTGAAAGACACTCTGGGCTATCATGAGATGTTAGGGGCACTGTGGGAGCTTAGGGAATATTCAGTTGGTTAAACATCCTCAGGGGGCAGGGGAGCACAGTTGGGGCTGAATGCAGCAAATTGAGGAAAGGACGTTTCTTACTCTCTCTTCCTCTATGAGGGATATAGCTGAAACACAAGAGCCCATTTACTGAATAGAACTGCTGGGAATCCATGGCAGAACAAGGTGGGGGGTCTTGGTACAGTCTCTGCACTGGAAGTTCTAGACTGCAGCAAACAACCTCTGCTCAGTCATGTGGCCCATCACATGACTGATGAGAGGACGTATAGGACTTCACTCCATGGTGGACTGTAGCTCTGCTCCTATTCCGTAGCAAGTGAGGCATTGATCTACAAAGCCTCCTTGTATTGCTTATAGGGGCAGTGTGGTGGTCATGGAACCCACCCCCTCTTTCCCTGGCATGCTTCAGAGCCCACAAGTTAATGTACTGCCCTTCTTATCCAAGTAGTTGTGTGTCATGGCTGCCTATAGCAGGACCACATGTACATGGTATCTTGGAAATATTATCATCCTTGACCTTCAAATACCGTCTATTCATTCATCTGCTGTATCCTGTTTCTGCTGTAACCTGTTGCAAGCAATTTGTGGATGAAAAGGTGTTTGGTGCGTTCAGCTATCTGATAAGGATTGTCCGCAGTGATTATATCTGCTTATGCAGGAAAGACATAGAGGTCTCAGCAAGGGAAAAATCGCTAATACAACAATCGCAGTCAGAATACATCTCATTGTGAATTTAGTTTCAAACACAGTCAACTCATCCACACATAAGCCTATGGAATGTATTGCCAGTACCTGAACAGAGTTCCTTCCTCAGTAACAATGTGCTGATTAGGAAGAGCAAAAGCAACCACACTATAATAGAATTGACGCTAGAAGCACATTAAATATATAGTGAGCGTTCCTGGGCTTGAATGGTTTGGAACATTTCAGAAATATATTATTAAGCTCACCCATATGAGAATGTGATTTTTAACTGGTTCTGGAGTACTTTAAATCAATTTCACATTTTGTAGTGACCTGCTTGCCTAAAATATGGCTAACAAACCTTTATTGATCACTAGAGCCTTTTAATACACTGCAAGTTAGTGAGAAAATCTGAATACAAGCGATATAATGTAATTATCAAGATGACTGGTTCACGTGCTTGGTGTATGAAAACATTAACACTCGACATCCAAAAATAATTTCAATAAATGAGTGTAATGTTCCTGTTAATAATACCTCATTCCTTGGAGCGTTTCTTTTTTTAAAAAAGAATTCCCAGTTTAACATCTCATTCCATGCTGCTAATGAAAAGTCATACTGTCACTTTCAGATCACCTCATTTTCAGTAGGCCAGAACTAAAAACAATTATGACATCAGTGCTATTTTCCACTTTGACCAGAGCTTTGCTGGAGTAAAATGTGTTTCCATTTCATTCAGCAATTCAATTCTGCGCACAGAAGGTAAGAGGTAACCTGACTCCTTATCAATCATATCAATGAGAATTCTTCAAGCACTAATGGACTGCAGATGGCTTTTTGTCTCCTTGATAATTGCAGCAGAGAACATTAGCCTATAAGTTTAAATGCCAAAGAGTCTCTTTAGAGAGATTTGCACTTTTCCAGACTAGCCTTGTATCATTGATGGTTTCTCATTACAGTCTCCCCTTCTGCCCAAATTCTAGGATGTACATGTCTAATCAGGCTAATTATAGTGCCATATGTTACTTTTACAGTTCCCACTTTATCTCTGAATGCATATTATATCTGTAATATGTTTTTGTGTTTCTGTGCCAGGGCTGAAATATGATCAGAGATCATTGGGATGTCATTAAGGTTTAAAACCTTTATGCTTCATCTAAAGTGTAGTTTATTTTACTAGGAAGAGTGATGAATATTTGTGCTCACCAAAATCCCAGCTAGATCGATATGTTAATAACTTTTCTTTTCAAGAAAAGCAGTACTACAGTTATAGGGGAACTCTGGGGAAACTGTTAAAGTCATGGGCTAAGTTTTTTTTTTATTATATGGTGCCCTGGTCACTGGTCAAAAAAAAAGCAACCCTAGCTACGATACTCACCTTCAGACCAAAGCACTGCCCTACAGTACCTTTTCTTGGCCACGTGATGTCCTCATTCTTCGAATCTAGACTGAATCATGCGGGGGTTACTCAACCCAGAAGACTGAAGGCTTGACTGTAAATGCACAGTGGCATGGGCCCACATAAGGGGGCATTACCATGGTGGCCTTCATTAACAGTGCGTTAATGCAGAGAGCAGAGCTAACATCATTGCAATATGGAAGAACAC